AAAGGTAAGAAGATTCCATTTGCATGTGCTTTCATAGAACTCTTGGCATTGTACAACAATACTTATTACGCCTCATACCACTTTAACTTTTTCCTAGCAAGATATAAAGCATGTAGAGGTATGTGAAAGTTCAGCCAACTTTCTGCAAAAAACTTTCCTATAAAATAATGCAAAAATTTTAAGGTATGTATATGCCATAAATTATGTATGTATGGGAGCGAATTTTTCTCACTATGGCTCTATAAACAGGAATCAACATGTCTTTAGCGCAAATAATGTCAATATCAATCTTTGTTGTCTTATTGTTCCTTGTGGAGAACTTCATACTCTTCCACGTGATCAAGTTGAGCAAATGGTTACAGTTGGCAGAAGCCAAGTAGTTAGCGATCTTGAAGCTATAATTCAGAGCAGGTTAGGAGCACCCTTCAATAATATTCGCCTAAAAATTTGTCAAGTTTATCCCAGTGAGACGCTTATGCAACTGCAAGATTTGATTTTCACTTTTTTTAATGAACAACCCCGAGAAGACTATTTTTACGTCATCGCTCAACCCTCTCAAGCTCAGAATAATTTTGAAATATTCACAATTTTATGTATTTTAGGCCGGGTTCTGACAACGATTTATTTCATAAATAAAGTATTATTATTTTTATCGAATGTACTATACATGAGAAATGGGTCACGTATAATGATGTAATACCTGTGTAATATAAAAACTTATATTAGCACCCAGTATTTTCTTTCCTGAACAGAAATAAATTTTTATCTCACTCCAGAACGTAGCACTATTTTTTGTCTGAGCTAAACTAGCCTATATAAAAATATAACACTATATCTGAAACTAGTACACCTTATACTCCAGCTTTCACCTCTACTTCTGTTGCTAGAAATGAAACGGTCTTGCTGGCTGACAAAATTAAAAAATATGACATGACTAAGCTTATAGATTTCTTGTGTGGGAAAAAAGACTTGGGTCTTGATGATGATAACTTGGAATAGAGTTTAGGCCTGTGTCAAATCTTGCGGACTTTGTTAAGGAGTGTAAAGATAAAAAATTGAGGTCGTTCTCCTCGTACAAGACTAAGAAAGAGTTGGGTGAGGTGTTGCGCAAGTATAGGATCAATAGTAATGATAAAAAAGATTCCGCTATTCGTACCAGAGCCTGTGAAAATCAATGAGGCTGATAAATACTTTCAATATTATATAACCAATATTAAGCAAAAATGGATATGAGGCGTAATAAGTATTGTTGTACAATGCCAAGAGTTCTATGAAAGCACATGCAAATGGAATCTTCTTACCTTT